ACATAGGACCTAAAGAGAATATCCAATAAAAGGCAAATACTAAATTATCCTCTAATATCATCCTGTAATTTAGTAATTATCAGAAGTTAACAACACCAATTTCATCTCTCAAGCGAAGAAATTGGTTTGTTTTTATCGCCTTCGTCAGAATATCTGCCAACTGCTTCTGAGTGCTACAGTGCAGAACTTTTAACACTCCTTTCTGCACTTGACTTCTGAGAAAGTGATACTTCGTCTCAATGTGCTTGCTTCTTCCATGTAGCACCGAATTCTTGACAAGATTAATTGCAGACTTATTATCAATCATCAGCTTCAGAGGTTCCTCAACTTCATCCTTCAAATCATGCAGGAGATTCATAAGCCAAACTGCTTGACAAACAGCTACAACACCTGCAATGTATTCAGCTTCACATGTTGACAAAGCCACAACAGGTTGTTTTTTGGAACTCCAAGAAATTGGACCTCCCAGAAACTTGAACAAGTACCCAAAAGTACTTCTTCTGTCAACTCTATCTCCACACCAATCAAAATCAGAATAACTCAGAAGTTCTGATTTGATCTTTCCTCCAAAAGGAAATAGCACTCCATATCTCAGAGTTCCCTTGATATATCTCAGAATTCTGACAGCACACTGAATAACTTCTCCTTCAGAGTTTACTTCAGTGTCTAGCAACATGTCAAACTCTGCAAATCTTCTTGGGATGCTTCTGACTCTTTGTTGCCTCTGAACAAGATATTCAGAACTTTGAACACCAGAACTTCCCCCTTCAGAAGATCTTGCTTCAGAGTTTTGACTTTCCCCAAAATCTTGACTGTCTTCAGAGTCTTGAAAATTTCCAGGGTCTGAATCATCATCAGAGTCAGAGCCACTACCTTCAGAAATACCATCTTCAAAAGTTGGATCACCTCTGCCCCTTCAGAAATATCATCATCAGAGTCATATTCTTCTTCCCCTTCAGAATCAGAAAGTGACAATTTCACTAGTTCCTCATCAAATTCTAATGCAAAGGGTAATCTTGGTTGCTTCCCTTCCATGCACATATTGCATGACTTTTCAGGCTTTTTGATTGTAGGAATTCCATATACCAGATTCTTTGATTTCAGATTCCCTAAACTTCTGAAATTCGGATGACCAAATCTTATGTGCCACAGCTCGCTCTCCTTGACAACACTTGTTGCACTAAGATATTCAGAGTCTACAGTTCTAACATTCACCTTAAATATTCTATTCCTTCCCTGTTCTGACTCCATAATCAGCTTCTGATTACAGTCATACAGCTTCAGAAGATTGTCCTTCATGGTAACTGAAAAACCTTTCTCAACCAGTTGTCCCATACTCATCAGATTGCTTTTCATGCCAGGTACATACCAAACATTCTGGATCACAACTGCTTTCCCATTGTTTAGAATGATTCTGACATTTCCTATACCTTCTGCATTGAGGTATTTGTCATCAGCACATCTGATCTTTTTACTCTTCCCAGAGTCAAAGTCAACCAACCACTTCTTGTTTCCAGTAAGATGGTTTAAACACCCTGTGTCCATATACCACCATTCTGATAGATTCAGATCATTAGGTTCAGAAGCCAACAATAGCACAGGTTCATCATCAGAGTCTCCTCTTGCTATATTTGCTTTTTCTGACTTCCTTTCTTTGTTGGAACAGCAATCTCTGGCATAGTGACCAAAGTTCTTACAACATTAACACTGAACCTTCTTCTTGTCATATCTTTCCTTTCCCTTCTGATATTTCTTTTCATCAGGAGTTGAGGTTTCTGACTTCTGGAATTTATCACCACGTCTATTTTTCTTTTGGTCCTTCTTGACAAAAGAAGCTTTTAGAGCTTGCTCCACTTCCCTCTCAGAAGTTCTTTCAGTCAGACACAACTCTTGCGCTTCTAGACTGCTTTACAACTCTTCTATTCTCATGGTTTCCAGATTTTTAGAATGTTCAATAGAAACAACAATGTAATCAAACTGAGGAGTAAATGACCTCAGAATCTTTTCTATGATTACCTGTTCAGAAAGTGTTTCTCCACAAGCTTTCATCTCATTAGTGATCAGAATCATTCTGGAGATGTACTCAGAAACTTTCTCACTGTTCTTCATGCTGAGATTTTCATATTGCTTTCGCAAGGACTGAAGTTTTACCTTCTTTACTGACACGTCACCACCATAACATCTGACCAGTATATCCCATGCCCCTTTCTACCTCGTCGAATCAACAATCTTCTCAAACAAATTTTCATCCACACACTGATGGATAAAGAAAAGAGCTTTATGATCCCTCTTCCTCGTAGCTCTTTCTTCTGATTTTTGTTCTTCAGTAGCATCTGCTGCAACTGGAACATAACCTTCAGAAACAAGGTCCAGAACATCCTGAGCATCAAACAACACACACATTTGTATCTTCCATCTGTTTTAGTTTTTGCCATCAAAAACTGAAAGTTTAGTGTTCAAACTATTGCCTCAATTCATCTTAAACCTTGCACAAAAACTCAGATCTCAGATTCTCACTCAGTGTTTCCCAAACCCACAGAATCAGTGTGATTCTGTTTCAGATTTTTGCTCAAGATTCAAAAATCAAACACACAGCTCACTATCACTCGTGTTTCCAAGAATTTCAGAACAAACCAAGAGCTCTAGATACCAATTTGTTAGTGCAAGGTGATGAAATTGAGGAAGAAGAGAGAAAATGAATAAATGCTAAAAGCTTCCACAAATGATTGAAGAGAATTGATTGTATTAAATGTAAACCTAGTACACCTATTTATAACACAAAAATAGTAAAGATAAGAATGCCACATAGGGCCTAAAGAGAATATCCAATAAAAGGCAAATACTAAATTACTCTCTAATAATATAAATGTTTCAAAGAAGGTGGTTTTCTTAAGTCTAACAAGAGTCTATAGAATGATACTAAATTTCTCTTTTGTAGGATGATGTTGAGATTATAAAGAATATCGACACAAAATCTTATAAATTTTTTATTAGATGTGAATGTGAATGTATCTATAAGATACTAATTATTGAATGATTATTTTAATGTTAATCTTTTAACTACTACCTCTGGTCCTATTTATAAAAGATAATTTACTTTTTATATTCATTAAAAAATTAATATATTTGGACTATATATTATGAGTCAGATATATTGGTTATTCAATGAATTTAAAAAGTTAATTTTTTTTTTATAAATAGAATTAGAGGGAGTATTTCTTTCTGTTACTGTTTTATATAATTAAAGTTATAAAAATAGTTGTACGACTTATTATAAATACGAATCAATGTTTAGAAGTTGGTACATATTATTAGCATATAATTGAAACTACGTGAAAAAAATATTTATGAAGCGTTAAATAAATTATATTATATTTGATATTCTAAATACATAAATTAAAATTTAATAAATAATTATAAATTACAATTATATTAATATTATCTAATTAAAAATATGATATCATATTTAATAATTTAATTATTGATACATGTAATATAAATTTAGACCGTGACATTAATTTCTTAGTCGTTTGTGATAAAATATAAGAGAGAATTTGAGTATGTAACACTAGTAGGGGTGTTCAAAACCAAACCGGCCCAATAGAAAACCGCAAAATCGAACCGAACCAAACCGAAACCACAAAAAACCGCATTTGGTTCGGATGTGTTTGAGTCATTTTCTCGTGGAACCGTATGGTTCGGTTCGGTTTGCGGTTTGTATTTTACAAACCGAACCAAACCAAACAAAACCGCATTATACTATAAAATCTTACTAACCAATATATATTTCTATAATTCTTTAGAGAAATCAACATGTATTATGTGTATATTTTATCATACTTTGTATTATATTCATTTTAATTTACAGATCATAAAAAATAAAATATTATTCATTTATAAATACTATTTTCACAAAATATATTTTATCATATTCTTTGTATAATATTTATTTAAGAATGCAACTTGTTGATATCATTATTTAGATTTAGATAAAATTATAATACGCAATTTTATGTATCAAATTATAAATTTATTTTGACAATTATAAATTTTTTATGGTAATGTATGAACAATTAAATATAAAATTATATTTTCCTATATATTTGTATGTATGACATAATAATTATTTTTGTAAAAAACCGAAACAACCGAACCAATTCAAACCGCATTAGTTTGGTTTGATTTGGTTCGGATTTATTTTTAAAAGCCAACCGAACCAAACCAAACCGCATATTTTTTTCTCTTGCGGTTCGGATGATTTTTTGCTTCAAAACCGCCCAAATCGCACTGCGAACACCCCTAAACACTAGCATCGGAGGTGAAATTGTGAGTGTTCTAACTAGTTATTTTCTAGAATAACAAAGATATTTGATTAATATTATTGAGCAACAATCACAAATACTACTAAATCAGTTTTTTAAAGTTTTAAAAAGCGTATCAATCAATGCTTTGCTCAAACACATAAACTATACAATACGCGTTGGATTAAAAAATATTTAAGAAACTACGAGATTCTAACGATGTCGTTTCTGTCAGTTTTTTGTAAAACTAATTTAAAAAGAGCGATTGAACTTGTATCAGAGATTAAAAAAAAAAATTGTTGCAACTAATTTTGAAAAACAAAATAATTGCAAGTTGTAACCACATAATAATGAAATAATTATTTTTTTTTGCAAGATAATGAAATAAAAAAGAAAAACAGGAACGTGACCGAACAAACCAAACGTGTGTATATCCCGAACACAAAACCGACATTTTCTCATACTATTTGTTTAACCTCAACTTTTATGCTAACCACAAAACAAAACAAAACACAACACAACCCTGTTCACTCGCTCTTTGAAAAAGTCAAATCATTTCACAAACACAGCAACACAAATTCATTATCTCCAAATTTAGCTCCCGATTTCATCTGAATCTCTCTAATTCTTCAACTTTTTTTTTCATTATTACTTTATTAAATCCTTTTCTTTTTGTTAAGCCTTTTCTTCGATCCTTCAATGGATTCTGAGTTCTGGACCTCTCGTCTCGCCGCCGCGAAACGCCACTATACCTTTCAGCATAACCATCCAACTTCTCATTTAGGTTTGTATATTCATGTTGTTGATTCTCGTTTTTTTGTTGTTGTTGTTGAGAAAATTGATCTGAATCTGTTTTTATTTTTATTTTTATATTTTCTGTGTGTTGGATCGGTTAGGTATAGATGATTTTGATGTTGAAGAAGAGGTGAGACCAGATTTCCCTTGTCCCTATTGTTACGAAGAGTTTGATATAGGGTCTTTGTGTTCTCATCTTGAAGATGAACATTCATGTGAATCGAGAGTTACGGTATGAACATGTTCTTATCTCTTACATAGTTTCATTTCATGTGTTGCTGAAGTTTAGATCTATATATATTATGTTGTTTTCAATTTCAATATGTTTGTCTGGTGTGGAGTTATTTAGATCCTGTTGGTGGCTTTGGTAGCATAATTGTTGGAAGCTTGATATTTGTAGCTTCTTCAAATGATTGAAAACATGAAGGTTTGGTATATTTTTGCTAGTTGAAGAGAGGAAGCTAATGAAAAATTGAATCTTTCTCTATTTAAATTTGTGGAGAATGAAATTAAATGTGTCATAATCAAACTGATTGGTTTATGGAAGGCCTTCTTAGGAGAGGGGGTAACGGCCTCCAAAGTCCAAACTTCTTTTTGGGACGACCCTTGGGTGGGGCTTATTCATCTCAAGGTTAGGTTTCCAAGGCTTTATAGTGTCTCTAGTCAGGGTGATAAGTCTGTCATTGAGGCTGGGGTCTTGGTGGATGGGGTGCTTCACTGGGACCTAAGATGGGGGAAGCCTCTTTTTGTGTATGTTTAGGAGATGATCAACAATCTCTTTCACTTAGTTCGAGATGTGCTCCCATCTCAAGATCCTGATTGACGGTGGTGGTGACATGCCAAAGACAGTGTGTTTTTGGTTCCCTTGGCTTATTCTTCTCTTGTTGACCGGGCCTCCTCTTCTACCTACCCTTCTTCGAGAGTTGACTCGATTTTACCACTTTTTTGGGGCAGCTGAGCAGCTGTGCGTTTTCTAAAGTGGTGGTTTTCTCTTGTCAACTCTTGCAGGATAGGATACTACTGGGGTTAATCTTCATAACCAGAGGGTTATTGTGGCTCCTGAGGGTGTGAGGTGTCCTATGTGTCTGGGAGGAGGATGGGTTTGGTTCCCATTTGTTTGTTATCTTTGTTATCTGTGAGCTGGGGACAACCCATTGGTATAAAATCTTTAGATGGATTTGGTGGTGTTTAGTTTTACCTAGTGATCTCCTTTCACTTTTTGAGTTGTTTGTTTCCTTGTGTGAGGTTTATATGACTAGAGGTGGTTTTTTATTGATTTCGCATGCAGTAGTCTGGTCAATTTGAAAATCCCAGAATAATGTGGTCTATAAAGGCAAGTCTATATCCGTGGATGAGGTAGAAGATAAGACCATCATCTTCACTTGGAAATGGTTCCAACTTCCAAGGCAAGTTTGTGACTATCTCCTGTGCTTTCTCGGATTGGCTTGGCGACCTTATTCTCTACTTGGGTCAATAGTGGTTCGAGAGTCTTCGCCGGCTCCTTTGTTGGAGTGTTCTTAGTGCTTTATGGTGTTTTTGGTTTTTGTTAATGGTGGTTCTTGGAGGCTGAGATCTAACTTATTCTCCTAGTTATCTAGTGTTTCTCTCTCATCGTTGTTTCTTCCCTATTTCTCTAGGATGTTTTAGCTTTGTGTAGTATTGTATTTTTTTCTTAATTTTGACTCTTTTTTTGGTGGTAGTGTTTGGCTTGGTACTTCTGGTACCCCTGCTTCCCCGTTTTTTTGGGTGCTTTTGGGCAGTTTTGCCTTCTCGTTTTATTTATATATATTATATTTATTTACTATTAAAAAAATGGTCTAGTTGTGATCGTTAGGAGCTATACTCCTAACAATCATTTTTTGAGATGGAAAATTATGCTAAATCATTTCATAGGAAAGTAGCGTGTTAGCTGTCCTCACAAATTGTCTGCTAATTGATATGAACTAGGTGCTCAATTGGGGTACAATTGATTTTGTGTAAGATGTAGTCACTTGTCATGTACATTTGCTGCATTTGAAGAATCTGTATAAATATACTTTATTAAGATAAACTAATAAGCTTAAATTTAGTGATTAGTGTTTCTTTTTTTGTTGTAATTATTTCATACATCCCAGGGATTTGAAATGACATTGAATAAAGCTATACCCCTTGTGCTTTTGATACATAATTTTTCATGAGATATATAAATTTCTGTCAAGATGAATATTACATAATCCGATATCTTCGATTCATATTGACCTTTGTTTTATCTATCATACAGATTTGTCCTGTATGTTCGGTTAAAGTTGCACGCGACATGTTGAGCCACATAACTCTGCAACATGGGCACCTATTTAAGATATCCTTTATATTATTGTTATGATTGAATTTTTTAGCGTTCTAAACTAATGAATTGTTTCTCAAGTGCAAAATGAAAAACTTTAACTGCTTCCCTTAACTGAAGATTACATACAGAGAAGGCGCAGGTTAAGAAGAGTTGCTATTCCGAATAGTCAGTCATTGTCTCTCTTAGGTCGAGATCTCCGGGAAGCTCATTTACAGGTGCTTCTTAATGGTGGAGGTGGATACCGGTCGCATAGTAACTCAGTATCCAATGCGTCTGCTGATCCGTTCCTGTCCTCTTTTATTTTGAATTACCCTCAATGTGAAGCTGAAGAAATCTCTAAATCTGTTGTAACAAGTGCTGAAGATTCTTCTTCTACAAAGAACACAGCATCGCCTGTACAACATATTTGGAAATCAAGGTGCGGTGCTTCTTCGTAAAGTTTAACTCCTTAATCGCATTTATGAATTTCATGAATCATGGTTTTGATCAGTGTCTTGTATTCTTTTGCAGTTTTGATCAATCGTTGAGTATCGAAGAGCGGGAGAAAAGGATTAGGCAAGCTGCCGGGCGGTCTAGTTTTGTGCAGGATTTGTTTCTGTCAACCTTGTTAGGCGACTAATAATCGAAGCTGTAAGTTGATTAGAAATAATAATCAAACATAAGGTCCAACCTTAAGGATCTTGATGAAAGATGTGTTTTGTGGGATAAGTTTGGTAATTGATGTTAGCCTAATTGTGGTAGCAGCATTTTATACATGTATAGTGCTGAATCTCTGATGATAGTTACCATTTATCCCACACATGTAACCATCTTTCACTAGAGATGTATTTTATTTTTCTTAAAAAAATGTAATGGAAAGACTTAATTTGTTATATTGGCTTAAAAATCTTTCTCTAAGTTCATGAATTCACGAATCCGAATATGAGTTTCTGGAAGTGTCGGGTCAGATATTGGATGAGCTTATAATTGGACTTGATTGCTGTATTCTTGTTTTGTAAAACAGTAATTATGCAACTGAAATTGGACGAGTGAAGTTGCTAGTAGATACTGAGGACTGCAATTTTCTAATTGGATATATTTGGTATATCAAATTACTTCTATTATAAATCTAATATTTTATTTATTTATAGTTGGTGTGACACTAAAATCTACTTTACAGTGAGTTTTCATATCCTTCTAGAACCTACTTCATCTCATTTGTCAAGTTGTATCACGACTATATTAGAAAAATGCTTATTTGTAATAAAAAGTGAAAATTAGAAAGTTAAGAATAAATCTCAACCATTCTTTGTCATAACTACTCCATGATCTCTATTAAAAAGGAAATTTAATTTATAATAAATTAAAAATTATTCATTAAATTAATGACACATGGATATTCTTGTGTTTTTTGTTCAAATTTTTTCGTACTGAATAGCATTATTTTTAGTACTAAATAACATTATTTTTAATATTATTTGTAAATTTTTTTAATATAGAGATAAATAGAAAACACAATTAAAACAATAATGTGAAAATTTTAATTTTTTTTATGGTTGTTGAAATGATTACATCCTCTAGAAGCAGATGGTAGGATGTTTGACGTATGCTTGCAATACAAGATCTGATAAATTCTTCAATGTAAAAGTGGTGAACAAATTAACAATATCACATATGCAATCAATAAAGAGAATAATGAGATACCTTGAAGATACAATTAAATTTTGTATCATGTTTTGAAAATCTGAAAGCCATAGAAGTAAGCTAAGTTGCTTTACTTTTGTGATTCATATTGGTATGGTGATAAAATGGGAAGAAGTACACTTTTTTTTTTGTTTAAGCTCTTTAATTCTTCAATTTTATGGTGTTATAAAAAGCAAATTGTTGTGACATTTTCATGATGGAGGACTAAATACATCTTAACTTGTAGCGTAACATGCCAACGTGTTTTGTTGCAATCTTTGCTAGGTAAAATGATGACTGGTAAGGAAAAAGTGGTGGAATTCATAATGGACAACATAACAAACTATCAATCTTGTCCATGGGAAGAAAAGAGTCAAAGACATATATTAATCATATTCACTTTCTTATTGATCAAGTAAACATATGAAAGAATGACCTATTGCAAAACTGATGATAAAATTGCATGTGATCAAACAAAGGCATTGGAGGTTGGGAAGTTTAAATAAATGAGAAAGATGTATAATGTACTTAGTCTAAAGATTTTGAATTGAGAGTTAAAGTGTGATTTAAATACATTACGAGTTGAATTATTTACTGTTTCTTGTGTTTCATAAAAAGTGTCTCAGTTACACTTTATCTCTGTCTCAAAATAATTGTTCTTTTATAATATTAATTCAGTATTTATTATTATTTTTTACTGTTATACTTTTATTTATTAAATTTTATTTTATTCAATTACTCTAACTATAATTAATAGAAATATTCTAATAAATAATATTAATTTTATCATTGAAATTAATACATCTAATATTTTTTTAAGAATTATATGTTACTTAATTAAGACACTTTTAGACATAAGGAGTATACAAGTAACTAATTAGTTAACTTAGTTTAGTTACTTATTGTGAAAGTAATTAATTATGATTTCTTTGAATTTCATTATTGTTTAAAATCTCAATTTATGTGTTGTATAAGTAATTATTATGATCATAGATGAATATAATTGTGTTTAACCACTTTGAATCTAAGTTTTATTTTCCATATTTGTGTGTTTATTAAGTTCTAACAAAAAATACATAAGCTCTTCTATTAAACATTATATAGCTTCATTTCACTCGTACTCTTCAAAATAAATATCTAATTAAACCGTCCAATACTTCATGAATGTGTATAAGAGAAAAGAAAAAGCTAAATATAAACCAAACAAAAAAATTAGACTCCATAATCCATAATAACTATGTTTTAATCCATTAAATGAATGAAATCGGTTACATGAATTAATTTATGCTATAATGCTCTATCCAGAGTCGTGATTTTATCCAAATTATTAATCTCAAGATTTTTTATTAATAATTTTTCTTTTAATTTTTCTCTACCTCTAGTTATTTGGCTATTCTTTTCATCTAATATTCTTTTTCTATCACATAATTTACTTGTCTTCTATATATGTCATCTAACGGAATATTCACATCTTTACTATATTTATTTTATTCTCACGTTGATTCTCAAGCACCCAACACTCCATTTCATACAACATCACAAGTTTTGCTACAGTCCGATAAAAAATTTCTTCAACTTGAGCGACATCTGTCACATAAAATTATTGAAGTCCCCCTGCATTTCAACCATCCAACTTGAATTTGATGGTTTATACTCCCTCCTATTTTTTCATCGTTTTATATTACATAATCAAGATGTTTAAACCGTGGACTTGTGAGATGATATGATCTCTAAGTTTCACTTCTAGGTTAGAAATACTTCTCCTTTTATTGAAATGATATTTCATATATTGTGTCTTACTTCTGCTTATATAATTTTTTTTTAAGATTCATCTCCAACCTCTCATTTATCCTTCAACTATTCAAATAAGACTATATTATAACACCTAAATTTTGATTTTAATATCTTAATTGAGTTTTAGAGTGCTTTAATTTAATTTAATTAGTATTATTTAGAAAGTTGGATTTTAATAGAAAATATTATAATTTCATTTATATTTAAAATAGATTTTTATTTAAAATTAAAGGGGAGTGAATAAAATTATCAAGAGTTGAGGGGATTATTAGAATTAGTAAAATAAAAATAGGGTTTTATTTAAATAGAGAGAGAAAATAGAAAAAGGGAATTTTTTGGTGAAACAAGCTCTCAGTAGTTGAAAGAAAAACCCTAGCAAAGTAAGAATAGGAGAAAAGCCTTAATAGCCAAAGCTCCAACCATTTCCCGCGAATTCGAGATAAGGGAGGGGTGGAATTGTTCATAGTATGCGTGTTTAAGTATGAACGATAGGAAATCCTTAACCCCTTTCCTTTTCCTCCATTGATGAAGAAGGATTTCAATCTTGAGAGGATTTATGCAAAACCTCTATAGATTGTTGTGTTATGATGTTGTTTTCATTCTATGTTAATTGCCGAATTTTGTGTGGATCTATGTGCGTAATTTTACTTTTGATGTTCATCAGTATATATGATAATTTGATACGATATGGTGATGATTTCATGTTAGATTGATGTTGTATATGTTAAATCTGTGATGCTTGACGTGATTAAATATTTTATTATTCATGTTTGATGATTTACTATGTGTGTAGGGTTATTTGGACTCGAAATCGAAGATCTGGTGGTGCATCTATGGAAAAAAATGCTAGTTTTCACATTTTGCACATCGAAGACGAGCGTCACGTACATGACGGGCCAACTGTCACGCGCCTGGGGAAGACGTCCCACCTAGACAAGCTGATGGGCGTTAGCGAGGCAACATGCTGACAATTAGTGCCTCACGACGAACACCTTTGATAAATTGTCACTGATATGATGAACGATTGAGCTAAGGATGTTGACGGGTGAGGGTGACGACCGTCATGCCTGAAAGGCTGCCTGTTAACCCTTGTGTTGACCAATTCTGGTTGTTTTGACTCAATTTTTTGAATACTTCCTGGTTTTTGCCGACTGTTTGATGTTGTTTGATACTGTTTGATGAGTGTTGATAAGAAAAATAAATTTTTGAATATTATGATTGATTTTACAATGAATTCCTTATGCAGAGGAAATAGTTGTTGTTGAGATGTGCGGTTCGGTGAAACCATTGATGTGGCCTTACAATGACGATGAATGTTTATGTTGTGTTTTAGGTTCGAGAGGAACTAGTGACGTGTATTAAAGTTGGAGGTCAAGACAAGTATTACATATATTTTGTAACATTCATGTATCATTGTACATTGGAGATAGGTAGGACTTCGTTCCAGTGACGAGTAGGACTTCGGTCGTAGTGACGAGTTAGATGCTTCAGTAACACACCTCTGAACATCTGAAATGTTGGTACCACATGAATTGGAGTAGGGAAGATGATTACATTGCATACATAATTGCATTTGTGATTGATGATTGTTGTGGATGGATTATATGATTGGTTATTTATGTTAATTGTACTATCCTTGTTGTTGTATGCACCATTAATATATGTGAATGTATTCTCACTCCTTTTTATTTTCTATGTTGTTCCATACGCCTATTGTGCATATATTCAAGTAGAAATTTGAGAGATTTAGTTTTAGCTTGTTTTGGAGGATGGCATAGTTGGCTGACCGTCTTTGTTGTTTATTATTCTGCGTTGTTTAGTTATTCGCGTGTTGCTCTGATAGTGTAACACTGATTTGGGACCGTATTCTGTTTTTCTGCGAGTTGTTGAATTAACTAGACTTATGATTAAATGAAGTGATTTTAAATTTTATGAGACAAATTGAAGATCTATTGAAGTTTAACTCTGCTGCTATTATAAATTGAGAATGTTATGATGAGAAATGTAGCATCCTTTGTATTCTTTTATTCCACATGCTTTATTATTTATAAATCACGTGTTTGGGCTTTAGGGTATTACATATATCATCTGCAAAAAGCATGCATCTCAGTGCAAGCTCTTGGATGTCCTCCGTTAGTACATCTAAAATTAAAGCAAAAAGGT